AGTAGATCTAAAGGATCCACAATAGTCAGCTCTAAATACAAACAGGTCCAGGAAAAGAAATGCTTAGGACCCATATGAGGAACTAAGTCCTCATGGGCTGATCAAAGAGTTTCTAAACTCAAGAAAGTCAAGACTGAGGAGATGATTCAGAGGTAAAGACACTTACTGTCAAGCCTGAAGACATGAATCCATCACCAGGACCCTCATACAGGGGAGGACTGACTCCCAATAGTTGTCCTTTGACTTACAGACATACAGGACATGCATGTACATACACACACAAATATAATTAAAATAGCATATCAAGGTAGAACAATAGATTGACAATATTAAAAATGAATTTTAAAATATTAGGAAAGGACTAAAAGTCACAGATAGTTGAGTGTGGTGGAGCTCAGCAGAGGGCTTTGGGGGGGACTTCAGTTCTAAATCACAAGACTTTATGTTTTATTTGGTCTGTAAAAATTATGCCTGTGAAGATCATGATAAACATAAAATTAAATGTAAAAAGGAACATACTGGAAAATCACTCTCCATCTTTTTCTTACCCAAACCTGACCCTGGTCTCTTTTCTCCCTCCAGGCCTGCTTGCTTGGTGTTTAACTGATATTGGTTGCTTAACTTTTAGGAGACTAACTCCTTTTTGTTTTTTACCTAGATAGAGATGTGACAAAACTCCTTCCCAAAGGGTAGGGACATTGCCATCCCCTTTAAAGGAGAGCAGGTGGCAGGCATCATAACTATAATGAAAACATAATGATCATAACAAATCATTTTTATATTTGGCTTACTCTGTGCCTATTTCACTTCTTAGAGTGTCATGTCTTTGGGACAAGGGTCAACTGACTCAACTCACATAAGCACAAAGACAGTCCAATGCTCTACATACTGAGGATGCTTGGGCAGGAGTCTCCTTAGTTGGAGAGCCTGAGAAAAAATCAGGAGCTGTATAATAACAAGAGCAGCTGATTGGGCTGTTCTTGTGATCAGGTGCTTGTAATCTCAAACAGGGAAAACTGGAAACAGAAAAAAAGAAAAAAAAAAAAAAAAAACCTAAGAGGAAATGCCAAACTCTGCTGTTTCCCCCACAAGGTGGCTTCTGGTTCCACTGTGATCACTCATCAGTGAGTTTTACATGTTCAGTACAAACATGCCTATCCACTTCACTATTCTGAGACGTTTAAACATTCAGAGCAGTGGGTGACACTGAGGAAGAGTGGGAAATATGTGTGTTCTCCTTGGCAAGCACCATGGCCTCTTGACCATGGTACTAGAGAATGTGGCAGCATGGAAGTTCTGCAGATCGCTGTTGTCAGGGGGACATTATGGCACAGAAGTTCTGTAGATCATTGTTGTCAGGGGGATGTTATGGATGCATTTGTAACTTTGTCTTCTACCACTCTCCCCATCCACTGACACTCAATGAAAACTCTACTTGGTGGCACAAATACAATATTCTTTGATTAGTCTAAGATATTTACAGTATTCACATTAAAAATTTCAGCATAAGCAATTTGGTGTTTGAGGAGTATTACAGTTCCAATCAGCTTTTATAATCACAGGCTGGTATCTCCAGAGGAGCACTGATGTTGAGACCTTGTTCTAGGAAGTGAGATAGACATGAGCCAAAGATAAGAGCTGGATAAAGAAAGTGTGTTATACCAAAGGAATGCGTCGTCTTCTAACTGACTCTAATTCTATAGATCCACACAACTTTCAGAAAAATAACTAATACAGCTAAAGTACTTGGAGTGAGATGTGCATCATGAGCTCTCGAACATGAACTTCTCTCCAGACTTAAATAATAAACAGCATATAAAATAAATGTTAGCATATTTTCAAAAATGCATTGTGATTATATATTTATAGAGGTTTGAATTAATTTGCCTTTTAAAACACTGATACTTAATGTTTAGAAAATATTTCTTGTTCACTAAATGAGTGATGGGGAGTTAGGTAATCTTTTAAATGGGAAATTGTATTGGAAGAAACAAACCAACCCTATACATGTTGAATACACAATTCTGTTTCAATCTAATTCTAAGAGAAAGAAAATGATACTTAGTAATTAGCAGTCTGGGCAATAGCAAAAGTATCCTATACTGGTTGGCAATAGAAGTAAAAAGAAGAATGAACCAAACCAAAGAATGAACCAAAAAGTATTCCGACAAACAGAAATTGGGAGCTGGGGAAATGCTGTGTGAAGATCTGAGATCAGTGTATAAGAACCCAAGTTTAAAAACCAAATGTGATAGCATGCACCTGTACTTCCAGCATTAGGGACATGGAGACAGGAATATCTTTGGGGCTGTCTGCCCAGCCAGCTCTCTCTCTCTCTCTCTCTCTCTCTCTCTCTCTCTCTCTCTCTCTCTCTCTCTGTCTCTCTGTCTGTCTCTGTCTCTCTGTGTCTGTCTCTCTCTCTCTCTACACACACACACACACACACACACACACACACACACCGCACAACCAAAACCAGAATTGGCTGGGTTCTCTGAAAAGGGTGTGTGAATAGGAAAGCATCAGAAAACTACAGCTGAATGAGTCCACAGAGTAAAGCTGTGGGTCAACCCAGAACGCACTCCAGTGATGAGCACAGAGCAGATTCCTTTTGTTATATGTAACCACAGCGGTGCTTTGAGAGCATCGCATGGCAGAGAAAGCATGAAGGCAAAAAGCAGAACGGGAGACAAGAGTGAAGGATGAAACGATGAGGCACTCTGCTGAGGACCATGACAAAATTCAAGATCAGAGATGTTCTAACCAAGGACCTAAATGATGCAGGTGTCCATAGACCATAGGGAAAGAACGGCCTATTCTTTCTTCTGTCTAGCTTTTGCTTACATGTCTCTATGTCTGTTTTGACATAACACATAGAACACTCAGAAAATCACAGTCAGGGTTATTAAGAATGTCAAAATACCTGGATGATGCATCAGACCTTCACCAAAAGGAGAAGGTTTTATTTCAGAGTTTAATCCAAAATTAGAAAAGTTTCTTGAAATAGGTGGCACTCAGTATATGTATAATTCAGTCTGAATGAAACATTTAATTGTAACCAAAGATACTTGTCAAAATACACAGCATCAGACCTGTTAGATCCCCTTTCATCATTGAGAAAGGATGCAGAACGTGTGTATTCACCATGCAGGAGATGGTACTCAGAAAAAGAGACAACTTTTTAAAGCAAAATATTTGTAAAAGAAAGAACACAAAATCACTTTGGGTTAGCCAAACCTCAACAGACAGCACGTTTGAGAGGTTGCCCAGGGGTAAAAGAAACAGAAGCAGTAGTTGCATTCAGCCTGTTGGCCCGGCTCTCCACAACATTACTTCCCAGGACACTCAAACCTTGCACCAAGCTAAAGCAGATCCCTGCACACATTGCTCATGTTCTGTGTCCTGACATCTCTGGCCAAGCTGAATTAGCTCAGGGGTACATGTCCTATTGAAATGAAGCAAATTAGACTCTCCCAACTTGGAACTATAAAAGAGAGGTGACTTTTAAGTCCATCTACATAATTGAGCACAGATCATAAGCAACTTCAGGAACACATGTGGCATAATATCCACGGAAGGAGGGGAGCAGGAAGAAGAAAGGAGAATAAGAATATTCCAATTTGGGGCGGGGAGAGAGAAATTTCCTTTTATTCAGTTTTACTGAAGCATATTTCTTAAAGTGGCATTTTCTAGGTTTACTTATATATTTCAATGAGTTTTGACAAAGGTGGCCATTAAATTGTACCAGCTGATCTGAAGCTCTTTTGGTGTCCCTTTCCAGTCTGTTCCCTTCCACAAGGCCCAGTTCCTGAGAACTCCTAATCTTAGCTTTGTTCTTCCAATTTTGTGTTTTCCTGACTTTCATATACATGGGATCGCAAATTAATTAAGCAGCTTTTTCAATCTTGCTTCTTTCCCATAGCCCTTTTTTTTTTCAGAAAGCCACACAAGAGCAAGAAATTATATTGCATCATATGCACCCCTTTCTTTCCCATCTCATGTCCTCCCCTACCCCTCTTGAATTAATGATCTCTCTTTGCTGGGCAGGCAAGATGTCCCCAGTGGTGCTACAGTGGCACTTACATATTGGGGGTAACCAACAGCTATCTCCCTGGACTCAAGGCCAGCTTAATAGGAAGGAACTCAGGCAAGCTACTGTAAACCTAGCCAAAGACCCATGATTAGAATGTCAAAAACGCCGGGCAGTGGTGGCGCACGCCTTTAATCCCAGCACTCGGGAGGCAGAGTCAGGCGGATCTCTGTGAGTTCGAGGCCAGCCTGGACTACCAAGTGAGTTCCAGGAAAGGCGCAAAGCTACACAGAGAAACCCTGTCTTGAAAACAAAAAACAAAAACAAAACAGAATGTCATAGACCCTGGAGAAGAACTAACACCTGTCAATTTCCTAAATCAACAAAGCTTCCAGCTGTTCTGTAACTACTCATACTTAAAGTGATCAATTTATTATAAAGTATAGAAAAAGGCAAAGATCTTTACTCTCATCAGGAAGCAATTGGAAAGATAGATTTCTATACAGTGAGAGCAGGAATTACCTATTTTATTATATAATGTTGTTTAAAAATAATTCTAGATGTGTCCTTACAACATCAGAGTACACATCCCTTTCCTGCTAAATATTTTATCAGTCAACTTCCTCTAGAAATTTGGTCCATCATCTAGATATTTGATATTGTACAGATAATTAGGTCAAATTCCCTTTCTTTAGGAAAAATTACCCCTTTTCTCAATTGTTTATCATTCAATTGTTTAAAAATGCACCCACATCAAGGTAAGAAATTATAACATGCCTCTCTCTGGAAATAGGTCCCCTTCCCCCACAAACAGCAAGTGCACAGACAAGACTGTCTCAAGCAGGTCAAGCAGCTCTGTTTGGATGACATGAATGTCACGATGCTGCTGGAGGTACACTCTTCAGGAGCTGCAACCAGAAACAAAGGGGTCCCCCGTAGTCACTGCATTGAAAAGGGGTAGGTCTCCTACCTGGCTGACACTGCTCACACCTTCTTCCTTGCCGATGAGGCAGACATAGGCACTGGCCACTGACGGGGTCACAAATGCTTCCAGGTAATGTCCCCAAGGAGTCGCACTCACACACCTGGCACCCTTGAAGATTGCCCATCGTCAAATTGAACCTATGAGGCTCACACTGGTTGCAGCGCAGACCTGTTACTCCTGATTTGCAAAGACACTGCCCACTTGATTTGTCACACAACAGAGAGCCATTGACTGTCCCAGTCTTCTCGCAGTTGCAAGGCAAACAGAGGAAGGAATTCTGCTGTAGGCTGAAGTACCCCTCCAGACACTGATCGCACTGTCTCCCTCCGACATTGGACTGACAGACACACTGCCCTGTCTCCGCGTCACAGGTGGTCCCAGCCTGGGAGCCAGTCACACTACAGTCACAGGCCTTGCAAGCACTGCCGGCCAACCCATAGAAGTTTTCTCTGCAAGTGTCACAAGTAAGTCCTTTGGCTTCTTTCTTGCACTCACACTGCCCAGAAAGTGGATTGCAGAGTTGGTTCACTGAGCCATGGAGGTTACACTGGCAGGGCTCACATCCATCATCATTAAAACTCTGGAGAAATTTAAATCCAAAATTGCAGCGATTGCATCTAAGCCCTGCCAACAAAACACATTTGAAGGGTGAGAGAGTTGGGATAGCAGCGGGGAAAATGGCTGAAGGGTAACGTTTAGCAGAGATCCCGAACACAGAGAGTGCCACTCTGGGACAGTCGTTTACGAAACACACTATGGCAGTACTAAGTTAGCTCTCACATGTGGCCTTGCAAGCAGTGTGCTTTGAGGAATATCATTGCTAATCAATGCAACATAAAATGCAGAAGGTACACATTACTTCTGTTGCATGCATGGGACTCTTTCCTACTTCCATAAATATCAAAACTACTTTAGTAAAATAGGCTTTGGAGAATAAACATGCACATGGCACCTGAGTTACTTTTCAAAAACTCAAAATTTCCTGAAGGGAACTAGTAAGATTTTTCTAGGAGGGTAAGCAAAGTACGAAACACCAGCTAGACAGAAAAAAAAACAGGTTCTATAATTCAGTTCTCTATCACCATGGCCGGAGTTACAGTGGCAAACTGTACTAAAGTGTATACGTAAAAGCTGGTAACAGAATCAAACTTAATATTTTTCACTACAAATAACCTCAAACAGTCCTTTCAGAAATTGTCCACATATCAAAACTCCATGGTGTACTGAATGTATACTGAATGTATTCCATGTATACTGAGCTTTTATTTGCTACTATACCTTTAAAAGCTGAGGGAGAAGAAAAAGTAAACCTTTGTGTGATAACTATCTTGGTGACAGGCACATGCACACTTACTTTCAGCTGTGATAAAGTTAAATGCCTAACATAACTACAACTTATCCAGAGCAATTTTTATTTTGATTCTTTGTATACTCTATATTTTATCATTTTCAATTAATATGAATTATGCTTGCCTTGGCTCATAAGGCAAGCTCACTGCTTGTCAAATCATGTGATTCAAAACACACCTGTTTAGGCATGAAGCAAACTCAGATCCTTATGTTATTTCTCTTTAGAGGGGCATGTACATACATTTTACAAATGGAGAAAAATGTTTTGTCACCTAAACTGAAACCTCTGACAACTTAGGTTAGTCTCAACAAGGACATTGCCAAGAAAAGGAATTTAAAGAAATCAACAGTGATGTTTAAACACAAACCCCTTCCCTTTGGACAGACTCTTTGTATATCTGTGAATGTAAATACCTGACTGCATGGCATTGAATCAATTGAGACATCTATTTCAAATTACAATTGTATAATTGTAATAAAAAATTAGTCCTAAACCAAGAGTCAAATACATACTCATGCACTGATATGGAGAAAAGCAGCCTGAAGCTGGAAGAAAATGCATCATTTGTATGTATATGGACAAAAATCCATTCAAACTCCAATAGAAGGCAAGTTCTTTAACAATGATGAATGGCTCACCTAAGGCATATCATTTAATTTCAATAAGGAAAATAAAAAAGGACCACGATTGCTGCAGATTTTAAAAATAACTGTATTGTTAACAAGAATTATGACTCATTTTGAACTATTAAAATCGGTCTACATGGATTCATATCAGATCAGTTTTAAAAATATGCACAGTACTTATTTGAATATGCCATACATATTCCTGACAGGTAATCTATCCCTAACGATACTCACGGAGGCCTACAGGGCATCACACTCGGAGCTAACAAGTGCGGCCGACTTAGCACACTTGGCATTTAATTCACATTCTTCTCCCTTTTTATTCTAGATGAATGACCTACTTTAATAAAATTATTGGTGGTAATGTATTTTACTGGTGATAGAATCATTAGTAAGATTTAACAGTTTTGTTAACTCAAACAGTTTGCCTTCTGAAATGTATACAACACACCCTCATGTTTTCAGGGTTTTTGTGTGTTCCTGTTAACGAGGCAATCTTCAATGAGGATGGTTGCTAATCCTATTAGGAAAATATATATTCACGTCAAGTTCCTGCTTTTATTAAAAGTATTTCACTTGCAGGGATTACTCTAGAAATCATTATTTATAATATTGCTAAAGCAAGGATTTAATCTTCACAAAATACATATTTATATTTTCCTGTGGGACACTACTTGCAGCAGTTGACAAAATGAGTAGATGACAACAGGAAATGGCAGAGGTCATGATGAGTTTTAGGTGATTAAAGTGTCCTTCTCAAGCTCTAGGCTCTAACTACCACAGGAAAGGTGTTCCTGAAAGAGAGAAGCCCCACTGCATTGTGTACAAAGGCCTGGGTTTAACATGTGTTTCTATATCTTGAATTTAAAACATGTCTCATATCCAAGAACAAAGAAAGACACTTGGAATGAATTCTACATGTCACCCCCACGTAAATCAGCCAGATTTTCTTACTAAGTTAGTGTTTGTGTACTTTCCATAAATAAAGGTAGAGATAATGTTACACACTTTTATCTAATCTTTCCTTAAACCAGAGGGAGCTTATGTGATGTCATCAGACCTGTCCATCACCTTTTAATTAGATTAATTAAAATGTTTGTATACCAGAGCTGTGAAGTTTTGTATATATAGGATTGAACAAAATAGATTGGGTTATATAACATAAATATATACATAATTCAGAATTATATGTAAGAACGTGTGTGTGTGTGTGTGTGTGTGTGTGTGTGTGTGTGTGTGTGTGTGTGGTGTAGATATCACTGCTAGGCACATTTATTATTTTGAAGTTCAGGTCAGTGTCAGTAAAACCACACAGGACTTGGTGTCTTGGGTGACAATAGAAATTCCAAGGTCTTTTTTAAACTTCCTACAGGAACCAGGGCATGCTCAGTTAAAATACAGGGTGCACTTCATCAGAAAACTTTCTGTTCATAATATTCTCATACATCAAAATTTCAAAGTACATTATGTACGTGGTGCATTTTGGGCACTTGATAAATTTTGTCCTTATGTGGCGGTGGTTCCCCTCAAAAATGCTGGATGTAATAAATTGCTATAATCAAATCTAATTTCTGAAAAATACCTGTGGGAGTAACAAACAAAAAAGCATGTCTTGTATAAAAAATGATAAATAACACCAAAGCTCGCTGTTTATTATAATCAGCTTGGTACAGAATTACAAAATTAAAATTATGTGACCCTTTATAAGTAAGTCTAGCAATAAACATGATGTGTGGAATTATATTGACTTGCTTTGCATTTCATAGGGACAGTTCAAAGAAATATAATAGAAAAAATGGAAAGATTTATCACAAAGTACCCTTTAGCACAGAATGTTTTGAAAAAAATCCATTTATTTTAGTCTATTAAAACTAGCAGGGAAATGATTTGCTTAGAACTCATTAAGTGTAAAACATTTTGAAAAAGTGCTAATTTTCTAAAAGAAACATCTATGCAGCAGGCAAATTATATTTTTCTATGACTTATTAGTTGAGTCTGTGTAACTAATGCATCTACTGAATAAAAAAAAACTTCTAAAGGGTTGATTAAACAGAACTTCAAACTATAGTTTGATACAATTATTAATTTAGTCATTTTTAGACAGTTATTTTCATACAAACTATTTTTTTCCCCAGACTTGAGCAAGGAAATCTGCTTTACCCTTCAGTTAAGAAATCAAATAGAGGCTTTTCTTCTTCCCCAGATGGAAATAGAGATGTGACTGTAAACTTGTGCATTACACGTACCAATAACATTCGCTTTACACAAGCACTGGCCTGAATTTTGGTGACAGGTAATGTCTCCATCCACAGTCCCAGAGGGATTGCAGTTACAGGGGCGGCAGCCGTCAGGATCCGACGCCTGCAGGTCATGGAATCCATCCAGGCACTGAAGGCATTGTCTGCCAGACACATGTCTCTTACAATCACACTGGCCTCCAATCTACAGGAGATACAACATTTTGTAGAATGATGAACACATCTATTTTTAGATAATTTGCTCATTAGATACAAGACAGGGAGGGAAGGGGAAAAAAATCTTGAAATGTTAAACAGGCAAGAAGGTGATCAGGTTGTGCCCCTCATGACAGAAAACATGGGAAGCTTCAGCAGGAAGACAATTTCGAAGTGAATGAAAATAGACCCATGGAAGTCAGTCCTAGATGACTAAAAGGGAAATGGGGAATTAAGCATTTAAGCACTATATAAAGAAATCAGAATATAGACATGCAAGTCCTGAAAATAGAAGAGAGCCAGCAGCTAATTTAATCTTCACAACTCCAGCCCTTGGTTTCACCCTTTTCATTTACTGTCTAGTTGCTCCAAATCCGTTTTGAGCATTTGAGTGTTTAAATTAAGAAAAAAAAAATCTCACCATGATGAGACTTTCCCATTAAGTGTGAATGTTATTAAAGTCCTTTACAGACAACAGCACAGCCTTGAAAACTCACCCTGATATGCATCTTTACCCACTCCTCTTTGAGGAATACTTCAAATGTTTTCTCACTTATTTGTGGTATCATTTCATAGGAAGTATGTCATAGATAGCTAATATTATTGTCAGCTATGCATGTGGTTTCAAATATCTGAAAAAGGGCTTTCAGATTAAAGATTTAAAAGAATCATTGTTGCCTCATCTTTCCTCATCTAAGAGAAAGAGGTCTTATTGGAATCATTTCAAGATAAAACAAGACAATCAATGTAAAAATACCTAAGTTGTGAAAATTCTAGTGTTAGCTAGAGTGTGGATGATAGACTTCAATATCCAAGACAGGGAGCATAGAAATATGGGCAGGCACTTAGAGAATGCTACCTTGTATCTGGCTGTACTTCACACTTCCCTGCCTACTTAACCTCATAGAAACTATGTAATTGGCTAATAGAAGGATATGACTTTTATTTCAAAAATAACTGTCATTTATTGGTATGCATGTATTGCACCTAACTATGAAATGCAAAGGTCCCCCGGTTACCTAGTTTGCCTACTGCCACCATTTCAAGGATATCACTCAGTAATTCAGGCCCAACTTCTTGCTGGTATTTAACATGTGTGAATCTTCCTCTCCAAATAGGCAGCAAGTTCCCCAGAAGCCTGGGCACATGCCTAGTGTCTGTCAAGTAATCGTAGACATTCCCACGCATCAAGAGTATCCATTTAGAGACCAAGAGCAACAGAGAGTGACAAAGGAAGAAACAATCAATGCCTTTTGGATCAAAACTTCATCTATTGTACATTTTGTTAAGTGCTTGATTTAAATGTCTTATCAGTGTCAATTAGATATTTAAATCTAATGGTGAGGTCTTCAGGAGTGTGTGAAGACCTGGGCTCGATATTCTACATGCTCACTATTGTGTGCTTTCTTTCTTCTTCTGCTCTACCCACAAATCATGTCTGCTTTTATCTTCACACATGACTACCATCACTTTTTACACAATATTCCCCCAAATATAAACTACTGCCTGTAGTTTCATCAAAGTATTTTGTCACCCAAAACAATGCTCTCCATGTGAGCCACTCTGGCACAAATTCTTAAGATAATTACTTTCATCTCACTGATAAAAAAAATGTTTATATAATACACGCAAATTACAATTCTACCAAATTGGTCATATGTAGCTAGAGTTTTCCTGCCTGGCCCACAGTCAGGACAAATCTCTCTCACCTGCCAGTCCCACAGCCGCTCAGACCCAACCAAGTAAACACAGAGACTTACATTGCTTACAAACTGTATGGCCATACCAGGCTTCTTGCTAACTGTTCTTACAGCTTAAATTAATCCATTTCTATAAATCTATACCTTGCCACGTGGCTTGTGGCAAGCCAATTCACATGCTGTTTGTCATCGTGGCGGCTGGCAGTGTCTCTGACTCAGCCTTCCACTTTCCAGCTTTATTCTCTTCCTTGTCCCGCCTATACTTCCTCCTGCCTGACTACTGGCCAATCAGTGTTTTATTTACTAACCAATCAGAGCAACACATTTGCCATACAGAACATCCCACAGCAGCCATACCTTAAAATGTAATTTGAAAAGAAAATGGCATAAGGCTTTATAATTATATAAAACCATCAACTTGACTCAGTTACTTCAAAATTAGCTGAAAATATAGTTTATTCCAAGCATTTCATTTGCAGATACATTTTAGCAGTGAGGTACCATAAACCCACTTACTATCTCAGATTAATCCTTTCCATTTATATATTAAAAGAAGATCCTGTCTTCCCTTTTAAAATATACTTCTAAGCAAAGCATGCTTGTGGTTCATACCTGGAATCCCAGCATTTGAAAAACTAAATTAAAATTGCCACAAATTAGGAGTCAGGCTAAGTGATATAACAAATTGGAAGGCAGCCAAGCTATAGGGAACAATTCTGACTTAGGCTAACACTTTCAAACTGATACAGTTTCCATGATGTTTGGGGAAAATATACTCTTGGTTTCACCTATTGATTCTCTTTGGCCAATATGTTAACAAGCATGCTCCATAGTTGTACTTGAACATGTATATAAACCTGGGAACTCACGTCCTCATGTTGGACTTGAGGCTCTGAGTTTGCCTTGTGAATAAGCTCCTGGGAAGAAATTAGTGGACATGTGATGAGAAGTGAAATGACCACACTGTCTTCATTCCTATCACTCCAGCTAACAGTCCATTTGACAGTCACCAGATACAAGAGTCCCTCCTAGGTCATCCAACTACATAGACAATTGAGAGATCTCAATAAGGTTTGGCCAAGCCAGTTTCTCAGGTCCAGTTCTGAGGCAAACAATAGATTCAAATGTTTGAATGTCTTTTCTATAGATTTATTCTATTTTTAATTATCTGTATGTCTGTGTGTCTATATATTGATATGTGCACCTGAGTACAGATGTCCACAGAGGCAGGAGCCATTAGATCTCTCTGGCTTTAGAGTTACAGGAGGTTATGAGTTATCTAACATAAGTGCTGGGAACTGAATTTGAGTCCTTTGAAAGGTCAGTAAGCAGTCTTAACTACTGAGCCATCTCTCCAGCCAAAGTTTTAGTACCTTAGGCAGCAAAAGTTATCATATATAACACTGCTGATCACCACTTAATTCCCATTTTATTTCCCTGTCAAACAGGTTGAGAGAAAAACAGTGTAATCACTACAATCATGTGGCCAACTATTATTGAGATTCCTAGTACCAGGAAGAAAGAAAAACAGATAAAATGATACAACAGACAACAAGAACAAAAACATATCCTTATATTTCAGGCTATGGTCATTTCTCTGCTCTTCAAGGCTTAAAACACTGTCTAGATCAGTTTGATTCTGAACACTTCTAGACACATTAACCGAAGAAAAATAATACCTACTTACAAGCTCTGGCTCAAATTGGAAACAGCTTTCATAAGCTTGGCTTGGGTCACATTCTTTCCAGGTCTAAAAGATGTGGGCTCTTTCTTTGAAATGTTCTCTAGAAGGCATTTTTGGACTGTGAATAGCCCACTAAGTTCTGCTAGGTCAACATTCTAACATTCTGATAAGTTTGGTTGATATTTCCCCCTTTACATTTTTTCAAAGTAGAAAAAAATTGTTAGATTGTTCAATTGGTTTTGAACTCAAGATCCTCCAAATTTAGCCTTCCAAAGGCTGGGACTGCAGGTGTGAACCATTGTCTCTGGCTCCTGATTTCCATTTTGATTGTTCTGTGATCTCTGGATTATTTATAAGTAGGTCAGTTTCTAAATATTTAGGCATGTTTCTTAATATCTTGCTTATTTATAATTTAACTGATCAGTTAACACACTTGCTATGATTCTAATAATTTACAGTCTATTGAGGTGTTTTATGGCCCAGAATTTAGTCCATTTTGGTAGATGTTTTCCATAGACTTCAAAACCATGATGCAATACTCAGTTGTTGTTGGACTGAGTTCTCAGTCAATGCCAATGAGGTCAGCTTTGTTGATAATGTTGCTCTAATCTATATGCTTACTGATTTTCTGTCCATTTGCTTTTTTTGGTTATTGAAGACAAGGGGTATTGATGTGTTTGCATGAAATTGGGGGTTTTTCTATTTTTCCATTCTGTTCTATTGATGTTTGCTTTCTATATATAGTTACTTTGTTTGGCACACAAATGTTAAGAATTGGTAGGGCATGTTATTAAAATGGAAACAATTCTCTTTCCAATATATAATTGCTTTTAGCATCCTCCATAAAATTGTTGCAGTAAAATATGTGTTTTCTGATATTAAAGTAAAGGAACTTCAGCTTTCCTCAATTCTTGTTGGCAAGCTATATTTTCCCACAGCTTACGTTTAGACTATATGTTCAGTCTATTTGAACTATATTTCCTGTATGCCACATATGCTCAGTTTGTAAGATCTCATTTTCACATGTTGTTCCAACTTTTCACTTATAAGTGGAGTATTAGAATGTGGAACTTTCACACTGTTATTGCTATGGCCTAAATCTCACCACAACCTTCTTCCTATTCACCTAGTCCTCCTGGGCTTCTGTTTTTTCCTAATTTTTTATCATGGTAATTTATTGAATCCATTTCATGTCCACAATGGCTTACTAAATGTAAGTTTTATTTTATGATTTTAATATTTTCTTGTACATATTTACACAGTCCACCTACACGGAGAATTAACTTTGCACATAGGATAAAAACCTTCTAACCCTTCCCCTTCTCCCTTTTTACCATTGCCATATGCTTTTCCATGTTGCAAACTCTTTAAGGTGGTGTTGATTTTGTTCAAACTCTCCATTCCCCCTTAGAGAGAGTTAAAGTACAGGAAATGCACATTTAGTTGTTAACATTTTTGGAGCACCTTCTGTCTCTATATGGATCCATGGAACATGGAATATTTTACTTCCTCTGGAGTACTTTTACAAAACGTTTTGTATGGTGCAGTTTTGCTTGCAATGGACTGTAACTCTCTATACTGTACAACTGAACTTCATCTCCCCCT